TTTCAGAGGTTATATCTACTTGTAAGTTCCAAATAATCGATTTTACTATATTTGAGAATAATTTCCCACACGGCACATAGTTTCGGAGATATGTATATATGAACGCGTTCGTAAGATTTTTTTCATTTAGTGTAATCGGCTCTCAAAATTTTCTCAAAATGCTGTTTTCAAAGTAAGAGTAAGAAAGGTTACTCCGAAACGATTAGACGGATCCATTTGAACACACAACCTTTTGCAATGTATTTGTCACGTTATAATAGAAGAAATACAATTTTTTTGATGATGTTTTCATTTTGTCTCTCTCTAAAGCGTATAAAAAGCTCTTGTTTTTGAGAAGACGTCATTTTATTAAAAATCAAAACTTTGTCTGGTTTTTCGATGAATAACTGCGTTCACATAAGCTTATAATAATATTGCTTCGTCCTTGTATTTAAAATGGTTTTTAATAGAAAAGGATTCTTTACCACCAGAAATCTTTTTTTTTTTTTTTTTGTTGAACCTGCTGGAGATCCGTTTTAGGATCAAAGGATTCCTTAGAACTTACTTCAGCATACTATTTTCCTTTAATGCATATTTCAAGTTTCTATTTCGCATTAAAATCTAACTTAAAGCCAAAGTAATCTGTTCCAAGCTAACAACTTCGATTAAGGAACACATTACTGCCTGAGCTTATTCTTTTCGCTTCATCAGCGCAATTTTTTTTTTACTCTGGGCACATTCACTCCACCAGCCAGCCAGCTGGATTTCAATACGTTAACTTACCATACATTCACTACTACCAATTCCATGGTTATATAAAGTAGTGTTGGTAAGTAGCACGTGACTCCAACACATATAGCAAGCCAAAGCAATACAAACGACTAAGAAATATTAGCATACATACAGGCGTTACAAACAATATGCAACAGTTTGTTGTCTAAAGAGACAAACAAAGAATTGCGAGTTGTTATGCGAAGTCTGCCAGTTGTTGCTTGCATTTTTGTATATTTTTTGAGAGAGCGAACAGCCAAAGCGGCAAACTAATGTTTGTGTGTATTTGCTACGAAAATGGGGTGCGTTCTGGGTGTGGAGAGTGAGGTTTATGAGACAAAAGAAAAAAAAATATAAATAAATATGAGACTTACAAATGTATACATATAAACAAATTTGTAATGTGAAAGTAGTTAATGAGACTGTGTTCTATGGGAAAACTTTTTCCTAAGAAAGAAAGAGTTAAAAGGGTACTTGCAAAAAAAAAAAAAAACAAATTGGAAAAAGAAAAAAAAACAGTTATAGAGAAAAATGCTCAAAATAGTATGAGTGCGAGAAAGTATACATTGCCTTACATATTTGTTGAGGTAGTCATATTGACTAACATACTCTTCTTACTCATTTTGTATATTTGTATGTATGTGCCTAAGTTCAAAGAAATTTTTCCTATTTACAGCTATCATAAGTACTTGCATTTTTATTTTTGTACCTTTATTATTTAATATTATTTTTTCTTAGGCAATTCAAGTTCAACGACGCGTCAGTGAAACCATCTCCCCGTCTAAACACCACACAACCACTCCGCTGCTTGCAACCCATCTAAATTCACAGAGTACTCTTCCTCACGGCACCAGAAACCACTATGCTTTGAGGTTGAAAGTTCATTTTTTCCGTCTGTCTTCACTTTGTCTGTGTTTAGCTGCTCCTTCTTCTGCTTTTGTGCACATTTTGCGCTCGACACACATACACACTTAAATACCAGACTGCCCCTGCTTCCTGTGATCTTCAGTGCTGCATCTTCTGTGCCATAAACCTGTTTATTTCAGTTGTCTCGCGCATCTTTCTTCACCCCTTTCTTTGGTCAGTCCACTACCACCTTTGTTGGTGCATTTGCGTTGTCCAACTCAGCACAGCTTCTTCGGTCCGGCCTTTGACAGCAGCGTGATTTTCTTGAGGAAAACTCACATTCCGATCAGTCTTTGTTGATCTTTTAAAGCGTTCGCTTTCGCTCGCGTCGTGTTCGTTGACGTTATCGTTTTTTATTAAGTTTACTTTTGTTAAAAATTTCGATTGGTGTTATTGTTGAGTTTTGTATTGAAAAATCGATTGATTTTTGACTTTTGATTTGTGGCATAAATACATAAATACGTATATAATTATCTATTGAGTTTGTTAATTTGTGCGGGGAAGTGTTTTTAAGAAAAATATTTCAATTGTGTCGCTTGATTTGTTTAGAAAAAAATTTAAAATTTTGAGTATACATTATTTCTGGATTCTTACTCATTGAACTGCTGCTTGAACTGTGCTAAATACATTAACACCTCAATTTTGGTAACTTATCGTGAGGAGATGTGTAAGTTTGTATAATAAAATGTTCGTTATCTTAATATCAGAAATCCAATAGATCAATGTAAACTTAAAGTGTTTTAGAAAAACTTGTGGGACCGCTAAATATTTGTTTACTGGTTTTTTTTTTAACTGTATTTTACTAGTCTGTCTTGAAAAGTTATGAATTGAGGCACTTTCAATATAAAAGGAATGAGAACCGTTAACTTCGGTTGAATGGATGCCATACAAATGCTTGGTTTTGATCGGTCAGTTTGTATGTTAGCTCTATACTATATTGATTCGATCTGAAAAATTTTCGAAGAATGTAGCGCTGCTTTGCAAAATAATCCCTAATTTTATAAATATATCCTGTCAAATGCTAAAGTTTTTCCTAAAAAAATTGGTCACTCTCCCAAATCGGTGATTCTGAAAAGCTTCTTTGGGGCTGTTCTCGGCTTTCAACATCTCTTCATTCATGTTTCTGAGTTATTCGTGGAATATTCTTTCATCATTGAGGATTCATTGTAGAGAGTTATAATTAAAACCAGAATAATTTTTGAGTTCGAAATGAACCCATAATGTGGACTAAACCACCGTTAGGCATCTCTTGAAAGAGCTTCAGCCTCTGATCCAATCAACTTTGTAGATATTTCATATATTTAATGCAACAGCTCAGATACAACTGGGGCTCATCAACAAAATATTTTTTTTCCGTTGAACTTCATCGATACCTGTTAGTGCTTCATTTCATTACCACCAGATTTATGTGTATGTATTTCATTCAAGTTAATCTCTTGTTTGCTAAAATCCCAATCAGTCATGTGCATTTGTCAAATAAACAGTGCATGAGTTCGGTGATACAACTGATGCCGTTAATCATTAGTAATCCATCAATACTAGAGCATTTTATCCGTCTGGACTTCATCGATACTTCTTGTGCTCCGCATTTCACAGCCCACAGATTTATATATACGATTTTGGAATTCAAGTGAAACTCTCGTTTGCCTAAATTTCTTTAGGCCTTGTTCTGATCTTCGGAAAAGCTTTAGCTTAGGATAGATACATCTGCTGCTATCAATCGTTGAAAACCTATAAGTGATAAAGAAATGTCTCCTTCTGGACTTCACCAATATTTATAAAATCAATAAATGTAAGCTTCCTGTTAGTTAGCGCATATTTGGTTGGCAGATATTTAATTTTAATATTCGAAAATATGTTTTTGTCATCATTTAGATAATTATTTTTGAAAACAGTTGTATAATTTCTTATTTCAAGTAACAGTTATATATTTCATTCAAACTTGAATTGGCACCCTTACTTTGGCCTTAGGAAAAAAATCTATATAAACTCTCACTGAACAGACAGATAAAAACCTGAGCAGACAAATCTATCCTTTATTCGTTTCATACGTTAGAAGAGGTTTGCGTTGGAATTGGTGAATGCTGTTGAAATCGACAGTAATTTATATGAGTTGTACGTAGTACTTCAGGTTATACGATGATAAAGGGTTATGGGCAAACATAGTACTGTAATATTGTTCTAAAATTATATTTATACAAAAAAGATACCAACCCTTATAAGTTGTACTGTCAATAACAAAAGAATCTCATATATTGTATAATGAGCTTTCACATTTCACTTGGGTTAATTAAGTTAACCGTCTTGAGCTCCTAAATAACTGATTATATAGAAAGGTAGGGTGGCTGCCTCATGACACACCTAGGCCTTTAGAAAGTCCATTGTGAAAGCATGGAAAGTTAAATTCCCTCACACTATTATATCCGCTTTAAATCATCTTGTGCTTCTGTTGATGTTCATCAATAGGAAAAGTTTTTTATGGGTTAGTTGGGAGACATCGCTAATAAACCTTTGACCGATAGTTGTGTTTCTTTTCCGATATAAAGTCTAGAATAGGAGATGATATATAGTCTCTTTTTCTTCTACACCTTGGTATGTTCTCCAACAGTCATTGTTATGATAACTCCTATTCTGCCGGTATTTCATTCCTTCTGAATTTGCAGTCCAATATTCACAAGAAGGTTACTAAGCAACTGAGTTCAAATAAATGTGTGTCCGATATAAAATAGTTTAAAAATACTCCAGTCAGGAAGATTGCAAAACTTATGGATTAGGCTAGGTCAAATTAAAATATAGCAAATTAGGTCCTAGAGTTAAGCAGATTTAATAAATAGTCTACATATATATGCTAACTAGTCCAAAAATGACCTCCACGGGCCTTGGATCTACCGTTCTGGACTTCATAGTGAAAAATGTATCGAGTCACCTTTCGTCAAAATTTCTACACATAAATATAGATGAAGATGACCTATGAAACTACCTCATCTAACAACCTCCTTAACAATTAATTAACTTTCATCTTGACACCAAACAAGGCTTAGATAATCGCTACAACAAAAAATATTTTAATTCACAAATTTAAAATAATATATTTTATTATATATTAATATAATTATAAATATTTAATAATATTTTTATGTATTTCCAGATAATAAAGACTTCGGGAATAAAAAATGTTTGCGAAACAGATCTCGATCAATAAAATTCAATGACTAAAACCTTTTGTATAAAGCAATTTTTGTTCATAAAACTCTAAGTAAATGTAAAAGAACAATAACACGGGAATCGAAAAATACTAAAAATTGATTAAAAATCGTTAAAATTAAAAATAATAATAATAAGAGATGGATTCATCGCGAGAGCAATCTCCCGTCGATGCCGGGGAAGAAAACGCTCGTAGATATGAAAGGCCGGAGGACCCGCCACTTGACGAGCGGCAACAGTTGACCGAACAACAGCAACAACAACATTTGCTAGACATCCAACATGAGAGGCAGCAGCGGCAGCAGTTGCTAGAACAACGACAACTCGTCGAAGCAACAGTGCCACATTTTGCGGTCGAAGAAGAAACTCAAGGTGTTGCTTCGGCTTCGGCCTCGGCTTCTGCCTCTGATGCTGCTTACGAGGCTGATGTCGATGATGTTGATATGCCAATTGTTGCTGATAATCATAAGCATGAGCAAGTGGCGCGCGATGTTCCAAAGGCGCCGTACGTACCAGCTGAAATGAGTCTGGGTGCACAGCAGCGGCGTCAAGCTGAACGCCAGCATATTTATGAGGTAAATTTCGGAAGGAAAATAGTTAGGGAGTATGAAGAAGAAGATAATTTAGTAATGCTGACGAGCTTTTGTGCTTTTACAGCTTTTTCAACCCTGGGCATTGAAGAATTACGGCGATCAAGCTAAGACTAAAACCATAACATTACGTAAGAAAACTCGCATTTTGAAAGCGTTAGAGGGCAAGGAACATAGTCGGCCGGATAGTTCGAAATTTCGGTTTTGGGTGAAAACCAAAGGTATGTAATTTACTTAAGTCACAAAAGTTCACGATTTGGAAAAGAGCGTCAGTGAAAGCTTTTGTGAAAGCTAAACTGAAAGCTTTTAAATAAGTACAATTATTTACTGAAGAATAGCAAGTAAAACACTAACACAGTTAATTATATTACGAATCCCTAAACAGCTTTCACCACAAAACGTCCAACTGAGTTCAAAGAAGCTGCTGGTGGTCATCGGCAGCTCGAACCACTCCCTCCTAACGCTGTTCTCTCCGATAATCCCAGCCAAGTGGACCTATTTGTAGCTTCAACCACAAAGGTATAATTATATTGTAATTTTCGAAATACAAATCTTAATATTTTCTTCCAAAGGACTTTGGCAAACGCACCTATCGCAAGGTGGCCGTGGTGGAAGAATTCTTTGACATTATCTATAATGTACATATGGAATTGGGTGGACGTAGTGGCATGCATGCCGGACAAAAGCGCACTTATCGCATAGTGAGTGTAAAATCAAAACAATAGTAACCAGTTCATCAATATATTTTAACATATATTTTAAATTGCTATAAATTGTTCACAAACTCTTTCTAGATTACCGAAACATATGCTTTTCTACCGCGTGAAGCTGTCACACGTTTTCTGTCTATTTGTCCAGAATGTAAGAAGAATTTGCGCGCCACTTCGCCGGCCACATCCATCAATCCACCGGAAGATTGTGGCAATGAAAGCTCATCGGAGGTTGAAGGTCTCAATTACTCATCGCATACTGAAAGCTCAGTGGAAGCAGGACCAACGAAAACGCTAACAAAAGGAGCAGCCAGTAGCATAACCACTGCACGCCCAGTGGTGCCACTGAAGCGACGCTACTCACAGCTTGAGGAAGCGTCTGATAATACTAAATTTTTTCCAGCATCGCAATCAATTGCACGTGCTTTGCTTACAGCACCGTCACGACAGCCTCTGGCAGCGCCAGCCTCGCTACCCAGATCTAGCTCAACAGATACAGCAGCAGCACCCATTATTACCATCGATTTGGTATCCGAAAGAACGGCACCTACTTCTAAGCCGACAACGACAGGGCTTGTCGGGCAACCGAAAATACGCATTAATCCACAATTGCAGCGTCCTTTGACTCCGCCTCCTGTGCCGATTTCAGTTTCTGTTTCGGCAACCGTCTCGTCAACATCGGCATCGCCGTCACCGTTACCATTGGTGGTGCGCGAACCGGTTACGCATGCGCCGCCTCCTTACCTCGGCTATCATCCCCTTTGTTTTGATATGAATTTCTTAAAGACACATGAGAGCTTCTTTCGCTATTATGAAATGATGCGTCGTTTTTATGCCGGCGGCTTTCCATTGCCACTCCCACCGATGCCCGCTGAGTTTACCAGCGCTGCTGAGTTGTTAACCCATCAGCGTGATTCCAACTCAGGTGTATCGCGTGGTGCAGGTATTATCCAAGCTGCTGGCAATGTAAAGCAGCCCGCTGTTCAACAAGAATGCTCAGCAATGCCAGAAAGGCCCTCCATTCACACCAAACCCATTGATACTCAAGAACCTTTAATAAAAAAATTCAAAAGCTCACCAGAAAGTGCGAAAACCTTAAGACTGCGCACCAACCCAACCGAGTCGCAAGCTCATGAGACCACATTTGTCAGTGCTGTTGCTGCTGCGGTAGCTTCGTCCACTGCTGCTGAGTTGGAAATGGTTACCGAGACAATGGCGCCACAGCCACCACTATCCCCTCCTCCCACACAGCTCAGTGCAATTAATCTATCAACAACTTCTACTTTCAGGTCTACACGCTCGAATGGTACATCAATGTCACACACAAAGCCGTTGCCAACTATGCCGCACATCGTCATACCAACAACACCACTAACATTGGCGTCGTCAGCGCTGTCAGAGCTTGTCACCTCCACACCCACAGCGGTCAAAAGCAATCTGTCGTCGGCACTTAAGTCCGCCACAACCGAAGTGAAAGCTTCTTCGTCCAAATACAAGCCGTCAGGCGGTGCTGATAATCGCCCAGGGTCTTCGTCAACTTCGCGTTATACTTCGCGCTTGCCGCCATTGGATTTGGAGCGTTTGAAACCGATCACTTCGACATATTTGCAATTGACACGCAGCATGGGCCTAAGCGATGAGGATGCCTTGCGCTTTGACAACCTGGTGAGTAATGATTTCAATTATACGCTGTAAAAGGAAATCATATATACATATATGTATTTTATCGCAATTGAATATTTTTTTGAAACATTTTTGTTAAGTTACTTGTTTTTTGTAAAGAGAATACTATTCGTTTCTCTTTCAAGCACCAATTGTTAAGTTTATCTTTTATCTTATTAAAAGACCGATTATATATTTGATGATGCTAATTTTTTCCCACCATTGGTGTTCAAGTTTTATTTTATATATTTTTGTTTAAATATCTACTGACTATATAAATGCTTTTCAAATATTATGAAATATTTGATAATTACGTTCTTAACGTAGAACGCTTTCCTCTACAACATTTTTGTTGAATAAAATATTTCAGCTATTAAAAATATAGCTCAGTTCTCATTTCGTGTTCTTAGTTTTTTAATCGTTATAAAGTCTTAAACCTGAAAAGGTATGTCGTAACACGCCTTCCTTACTTTGCACTTAAAGAGAAGTTCTGAAGCAGTACAAATGTAGCTGGTCGGGACAGTAACCATGCACTATCACTAGCCTCTTAGGTGTGTGTCTCCCCTACATATATTTAAAAAACGTATACAAATTGAAATATTCATGATTTTGTCTTCAGTAACGGAAGAGCTGACCTCTTTCTCCTTCAGCTGTTGCAACTTTTGAAAGCTGGTAGTACTGATTTCTCTGATTAAAAAAGAAGTAATCATGCACTTTTTGCAAAAATTTTCAAACCAACACAACTAAAATTTCAATTTTACTCTTGGCAAGCATTATCTTATTCTTTCGTTCATTGAATACTATTTCAAAACAACGAATAAAATATTTTTGAGAAGGAACACTAAAAATGCATGTAAAAAATTGGTTAAGAACATCTTTTATTTAAACGAAAACTAAACTCATATGAAAAAAAATCTCTCCGAACCTACCTTTGTTTTCGTTTGCTTATGCTTTTCAAAAAAATCTGACGTCATGTTGATATACGCCTATGGTTTAGAAAAACACGAGCAGACACTTCCTTTTAAGCCTTATTAGCTAATGCTGCAGTAAACCTCTTTATCGAAGTCAGAGATATTCCAAATAAGCTTTCTGGAAGACAGTTGCCTAGAATACTAAAGACAAGAAATGATTTTATAAAATATTTTTCATTCCATTTTCCTTAAAAACAACAGAAAATTATAAACTGATTTTATAGAAAACCCAAATTATTTCGAAACGATGCCTCCCGATGTGATTTGGTTTTTTGTATTACACAAAAATAAAGACCTTGTCGAGGATGTTAACGATAGCTCCATTACTCAAATGTCTATTGCTCAAGCAAATCTTTTAGAAATATTTCAAACAAACTTTCTAGAAGACCAATCTTTAGTAAAGTATGGGCAAAGATGGGATTTTTAATTGCATTTTTTTTGACTTTTTTTTTTTATTATTTTCAACTTTTCTTCTATAACAAACGAAAGCGTTTTGGAAAAAATGCAACAATTTCAGAGTTTTCCATTCTTTTTCACTCATTAGGTATATCTACTTATTTAGTGATTGAACCCTAAGAGCAAGTAATGCATTATCTATATTTTAAACTTTCATAAAATTAGTGGTATGACAACCGTTCAAAAGTGACTATTTTCCAAATAAGAATATGAAAAATAGTTAATGAGTTGTAGACCCGCTATTGAATCACCCATATTTACTTTTTATAATGAGAAATTATTAATAGCCTAAAAGTAGACAATCGATGTTTTTAACTGTCATTAAAATCAAAGGAAAATGCCTAAAAGCAGGCAATAGTTTTTTTAATTATGAGAAATTATGTACTCCGCAAAGTAAACAACGACATTTAACTCTACCCACCTGCATTTTGAATGGTTTATAGTAAAAAATAAAGTGTGGAAGTATAGATATAATTTTTTCCTAAAAGTTTTGTTAATTTAATTTCGCTCACCCATTTGAAATTTGAAATGCCTATAGTAGGCAATGCATTTTTGAATAACTAAAATTACTTTCTCCTAAAAGTAAAATGATGATTTGTTCAAAAATCTTACACATGTTTAGCGCCTAAAAGTAGGCAATAAATGTTTCAAAATGACAAATTATAAACTGGCAAAAGTAGTCAACGCTTTTCCAACTGCACACACACACACACACCTATATGTTTGAACGCCCAAAAGTAGGCAATACTTTATGAAATACACACAATAATATTTGTGTAAAAATATTGATATTCATAAGTCTGCGCCTAAAATTATGATCATTAGGCGCTGCCACTAAAGCGCACGTATTATCACAACACATACACTCACATGCTATTAATATTATTTGTTTATTTTTATTTGCTGCATATTTTTATATTGAAATTTTAACGCTTTTAACGCAATTTTTAACTAATCTAGTTCTTCTTTTCTATGTCATGCTTGGCTTGAAAACGTAACAAATGTAAAAAATATACACACACACACAAATAAATGCAACAACAATACGCACCTTGCATACAACATTAATGAGGATAAAAATGCACAACAACAACTGCAACAACAGGACATTATCCTGACGCTTGTGCGTAAACGCTTCAACTGCACGGCTTCTGCAACTGCAACTGCTTCTTCTTGTGTTTCTAACGCGGCGGCTGCCAATTGAACGCTTCGCTTGTAGTTTGTGTAGCTTGAGTATATGCTAGTGCTAATTCTTATTGCCGTTATTTAAGCGTAGCGCGCGCGTACTGCACGTAGGCGTTTGGGCTGGAGTGCTGAAAGTACAAACCTCAAAAAATACAACAACAAATCAGTTAAATCAACAACAGCATGCAATAGAAATTTGTAAAGAAATACAAAAACAACAACAGGCAATAGAAATTTTAACAAATATACGAAATTAATAATAAACAATAGAAAATAAAAATACAACAAAAATGACGTCAAGTTAAAGCTCCAAAAATGCAGCAAATAATAGAAAACATATTCAAGCTGTAAGCATAAACCAAATCTGCACAGTCCAACAACAACAAAAGGCTGCTTGTATCATAACTATTATATATATTGCTTGCAATTGTTTTATTTATTTATTTCATTTTAGAAAAAAATTTATTTAGTTTAATTTATTTTAATTTTGCTTTATTTTATTCAAGCTTGATTTGTTGCGCGCTTTTTCTTGCTTTAAATCGATCTCGTGCGCTTATTTTAGTTACACATATATATTTGTTTATGCATTTATTTTTTACGCACATGCACATGCACATACACACACACAAATATATATATTTCATATGTTTGTTTGTATGCATGTATGTACATGTGTTTGTTGTACGCTTTGTATTTAGTTGAATGCTTTTATAATAATTTTTCCGTTATGTACTCATTTATATTTTTTCTCTCTCTCTCTCCCTTTCTCTACAATTTTTTCTCTTCACATTTAATTTTATTTTTTACATTTTCGTTTCATTTGCTATTCACTTGATTTTAATAAATCGCAGCTTGGTTTATAAAATAATAATATATAATAATAAAAAAATATACAAAAAAAATTAAATAAAAATGTATTTGCTATTTCGCTTGAAAAATATATCGACGCTGCCACTTTTTTATAATACAAATTTGCGCTTTTTATTTGTAGCTGCATTCGTCAGGCTTTTTTTGTTGATGCGCCCGAGCAATTTTAAAATATGCAAAAATGTTAGTTGTAGAAAATAAATAAGCCAAAACTAATGCAAAAACAATAACAACAACAATCTATGCACGATTTTTCTGTATCTGACAAATGCGTATCTGCGTGTTTCAATTATTTCGCTGCACGTTAATTCCCGCTGCTGCTTTGTGTGCGCTGCCACAGCCTTTGCATGTGTTAGTGTCCTTTTAGTGCATTTATTGAATAAAATTATGAAAAAAAATTTTAGCGAAAAATATTTATGAAAAGATTATGCAAAAAATCGCAACAAACTTATGAAAAAAGTTGCTAAAAGAATTGCGAAAATTTATTTAAAAAAAAAAAATATTTAAAAAATTGAGAAAAAGAAATAACGAAAAGTTTTTTAAAACAATTTGCAAAAAAAGTTCCCGAAAATTGCAAAAAATTCTTGAATAAAATTTTAAAAAAATTTAAAAAAAAATGCAAAAAATTCTTGAAAAAATTTAGAAATAACATAAAAGTTTATGCACACACACACTTACATTTGTGCACGGAGCGCGGTAAGTATTTTAAATTAAAGCAAAAATGTTTGTTTGTTGTTTTTTCATGCGCAAAAAAATTTATTTATGTGAAACGGAAATTATATATATAAAAATTTTGATGGAAATATGCTATAGAAAATTTGTTGTTTAAGGGCTACTGATTGATTTTGTTGGCTGCCTAAATTAACAATGCTAGTAGCCATACACATACATGTGTATATACATATCTAACATTTACATATATATACATATATATATATATATATAGAGTTATATATACATTTAATATACTTATATATATATGTATATGTGAATTTAAAATGGTATATAACATGCACACATAAGTACATAAATGCTGGCACTCAAATCGTATCTAATGCAAAATAATGTATTTATATGTGGTACTTGATGACTAGTTGATGACTTAATGGGGTGGGTCCTATTTCAAGTACTTTGCATTACTCAGAATTATAATTTTTCTTTAAAATAATTAATGAAAATGCTAATTTTGATTTTTTAAAATTATTGTTTACAAATAATTGTGATTAACAAGTAAAACTTTTACTATATTTGGCATATGTATACATTGCTAAGTGGAAGTTGTGATTAGTTTAGGTCGTAGGGTAGATCCAAATTCGATGATCGCATTTGCACATATATATACCAGGTTGTTCAATAAGTTTCGTCAATTGATAAGAAAAAAAGTTTTAAGAATCAAATCATACTTTCTTATTCAGTATAATCTCCATGAAGATTCCTCATGAATTCCAAACTGGGGATCCCAACCCTGAAGTAAGAATCCGGAAGGTCTTCAAAATACGCTTCAATAGTAGTTATGACCTCTTCAGGTTCACACTTTGGACTCTTGTTTGTATTGTGGATCATGTTGATAGACCAAGTCTCATCCATAGTGATGAATCCACTTTACCTTTTTTAAAATACTCTAGATGTTGCTGAGAATGTTTTTTTGTTCCATTGTTAGCGAATGCGGCACCCATTTTTCACACAGTTTTCTAAATCCAAGATTTCACTTAAAATATGGCTCACACTGTCTAATTGGATGTGTAGAGTCTCTACTAAATCTCCCTCAGTCAATCCACGATCTTCAAAAACCATGTCCTTTACTATATTTTGGCTATGATTCCTTATATGTATCATTCCGGTGAAATTGCCTTGCTAAGAGCCAGTAGTTCGGAGGACTTCTTACGGTTCATTCTGTGCTATAAGCATTTCACAGTTTCAGAAGTTCTGTTCGTTGACCAGCGCTTGATGAGTTCGTTGTTGGTCAAAAAGTCTAACGAAAGAAGACAGCGGAACACCGATTTGTTTCCAATCGAATCCAATTGAAATTGGGAGAGGGTGAAATCAGGTTTGCAGGTTTCAATACAAGTATAAAATGAAAGAAGCTTTTTAACTAGTTTGGAGTGAGTTCAAAGTCAGTATAGCCGCGTGGTCATCGGATTGAGTGCACACCTATCTGCAGACAGCTGCACTTAGAATCAGTAAATCTACTGGTACTTTGATGGCAACTATCTCCGAAATGAAGACGCGACAGTGATCTGGTAGTGTGGGGTAGTCCCGACAGAATTTAGATTCCATGTGAGTTTCCTATCAAGGATAAGTCTTAAGTACTTCACCCTGTCCGCTGATTGAAAAAAAGAACCGACCAGCGAAAAGAGAGTTGCCTGAGCGATTTTGTATCTTCTTGTAAATGAAATCAACTTTATTAGAACTAAGAAGTCTTTAATATTTCCCTATATACTTACCAGTTCATTAAATCTAAATCCGATAGTAAGAAACTAATTTTTACGCTTTTTACTTTAAATCTTAATTAAAATAACTTCCTAAACCTTCAAAGTAAACTCTTAATCCTTTCAGTGATTTTCAGTTTTTCGGTTTCTGTACCTTTTGGAGCGCCACTGCTTGAATTGACACTTTCGAAGTCATATTCATAAACCTACTTTTCGTTACTTGACGTTGTTTTTATTTTACTATTAGATATTATGTAGAGACGACCTGTCCTTAGAACAATTCTGAAAAATCATCTTTATTACGTTCATAAAGCAACGAAAGGCTTCGGGCTTTCGGACCAAAGTGTCCGAAACAATAATTCTCTAGCAATTGATTAACACCTACGTCAACTTACTTTCCATGAAGGATACAATCATAGTCATTGACGGAAAACACGGATCTGCCTGTTTTAAACATTAACATCCTTAAAACTGCTTACTGGTAACTCTAGCAAACGCCTATAAATCTTACCGCAAGTTCCAAAAAATGCACTTATATAAGAAAATTTACTCCTTAATACAATGTAGTGGAATCAGGTTGTTTTCGAAACCTATCGTTTAGAAATGGATACAACCAAAATTTAGACAATTCTCAAAATGTTTTAAGTTTTTTATTGCTTTTATTACAAAGGGTGGTGATTTTGAGAACCTATTTATACATAGTAGCTTTGAAAACTGTGAAGGATCCGCTGTCGGTATCAGTGGAATACTTCGCTGAAAATGCTACAAACTTTTGCAACTTTAACAAATGTTTCTTCCAAATTTTTTTTTTAATATTGTAAATATATTTTATTCCAGCAAATAATATCGTAAACTATCTAGTAACTAATTACTTTTGAAATGAGTGCATAAGTGGACCAGTTAGTATAAATCGAGCGGTTAGTACACTTCCATCCGGATCGAGAAAAGTTCTGACATACTCGCCTTTATGGGCTCGCAAATCAGGCACCGATAAGCCGCATTTGATCAAAAATTCCGCGATAGGGCTTCTGACCCTGATCAAGTTCGAATCACTCGGAGTCAAAGTCTTTGTGACGACCGGTTGTACCGGATGTATGAGTAATGGATTTAAAGTGACGGCATTTTCATTATCCTCATCTTGCGGCTCCAAAGGCTCACGGTCGCGTACCAATGGTCGCACAGTGGTAGTTGTGGTAACAGCAGCCGCAACTGAGCCAGCGGAGAAAGGTGTGAAGTCGACGCCAAAATGGCTAGCACTCTGATGTTTAGGTGGCAGCGGGGTGCGGAAAACCGACGATACACCGTAAGGACGCCAGTTGTTTGTATCTTCAGGGTTGCGTGCACCGTAAGAAGAAGGTGCAAGCGCGTTGCCGCGATTTATGCGATATGTAGTGGTCACCGTACGACCGTCGGGTTCAATGCGTGTCTTTGTTATTGTTTGTCCATTCGCGTTGGCTATGTCTTCAGGTGTTATGCCAGCACGTTGTAACATATCCAACATTTTGGGAT